GTCGTGAACACTCAGCACATGAAGTAGTGGTCTTCTATTTCAGTATTATCGTCCTTTTCTAGCTTTGCAGCATGGTGCTTTCAAGTCTTCATAACTTTGATATTTTTTGCACGCCTTTGCCCCGTTGGGATGGCGAGTTGCTTTCATCACCATCATCACCAGAGCCGTCATCATCATCATCATCATCATCATCATCATCATCATCATCATCATCATCATCATCATCATCATCATCATCATCATCATCATCATCGTCATCATCATCATCATCAGCATCATCATCATCATCATCATCATCATCATCATCATCATCATCATTATCATCATCCGCATCATGATGATGATCGTCATCATCATCATCACCATTACCATCTCTATCACCATCCTCATCCTCATCCTGGTCCTCCTCATCATCGTCAACATCATTATCTCCGAAGCCGTTTCGGTTCAAGGCCAAGACGGATGTCGACTCCCTTCCATTCGTCTTTTCGTTTGGGCCCATGCGCTTGCAGCAACAATCAGGGGTGAGCTGCCACTCACTCCAGCGCCTCGCTTTCCATATCTTTGCTGTCTCAGCATTCCATATTCGCGGTGCAGCTCTACGGGCTGACACCCTCCATATTCTCGCCGAGTCCGTTCCAGGAAGTGCAGCACGGCGCCCGTTGTCGTCAGAATGGCTTCGCGCAACGGTACGGGGTCCAGCTCTCTTTCCCGCAGCCCAGCGAGACCTGCTCGCAGGGCCCATTGTCGACGACACGCGGAGGCCAGCGGATCGCGTAGTGATATGGGCCAACGATGGGAAGTTTCCATTGTTCCAATTGCCAGCCGAAAATCGCGGCGTGAACGACATGGACGTGCCGCGAGAGAGAAACAAAAACATCATCAGCGAGAGGGACCGCGCCCAACGGAAGGACGTGCGGGCAGCTCAGGAGGTGCTGCATCGCAAGCTCGACGTGAGCAGCTTCAACGACAACGACGCGATGAACAACAACAACAACTTCGGTACGTTCCCTGACTCCGGGTGTCCTCTGCCTCTTGATACGCTTCGGGAGCGCGATCCTTGGTCTGCAGTTGCGCCCGCCCCAATCATTGGCGCCGACACGCCGCCTGACGCGCACATGGGATACTCTCTCTCTCTCTCTCTTCTTCAGGTGCTGGGCAGAACGCTATTGAAGCCAGGCTTACCAACATCTTCGCAGGCAAGATACAGCTCGCCACCTCGAGGCTACAGGTGGAGACGACCGCCGCCATGCAGAACGCCGCGGCCACGTTCCACGACGAGTTCCAAACTATTTTGGGCCAGGTCCGTCAGCAGGACTATCGCGTCGATGCTCTGGACACAACGGTGCGGGACATCAACCAGCGCGCCGTCGTGGTCGAGCAGGAGCAGCTGCAGCTCCGGTCCGATGTCGGGCGCATCCAGGCCGCCCTCGCCGTGGCGGAGGCCACCCTCCCACCCCTGGGCATGGCCGCGCTCGCGATATGGGATCGCCCGCCCGAAACTCGTCTTCGCGCAATCGGAGCGCCGTCGGCGGTGTAACCATCTGAGGTGCGGACGGGGCTGGGGCCATGGATCTCAGCTGCGGGAGTGGCAATTTCTGATGTTGAGCTGTTTGTGGACGTCCCATCCAGGCGCTTCTTCCTTGGTGGCGCAGCGGCTTCTAGGCGCGGTGCCTCTCTTGCGCGTGACCTCCGACATGGTGGTCAGCGGCGCGCGTTTTCTGCCGGTGTCGACATTGGTGCTGTCATCCCGCTGTACGTCGACGCCGGCGAGAGCCCCGAGGTGCTCGGGCGCGAGCTCCAGACAAAGATGCTCATCCGATTGCTGGGGGAGTGACACTCAGGTCATTTCTTTCGGAAAGTGGGGGGCGACGAGATCGCGTCGTGCGACTCGGCCCCCGTCGTCTCGGTCGAAGTGAGCGACGCGGCTGCGGCCGCTGCGCAACCTCAAACGGGAGGGCGCAGCCGTGCGCAGGATTGGGATTGACAAACAACCCATCAACGCTGAATTCCAACGACATCTCCGCGCCACAGACACCTCGCTGTGGTCTATTTAGCAGTCGCTTGTGCCCGTGGCAGGCAGTCGTGGTGCAGACATAGGTGTCAGGAGCAGGGCAAGGGCAAGTCCAAGGACCAAGTCATGTTCGACCCGACTTGCTGGCAGCCCAAGATGATCGACCAGTTTCTTGAGGGCGTGGCCAATGGCCATCATCACGTGGAGACGTGGGCCCAGAACACTGGTGTCTACGTAGACTGGGAATGGGGGAGTGCTTGTTGCAGGAGTTCCAGAAGAAAAGGGAGGTAACCAAGGGGGAAGGGCGCGGAGAGGGCCAGGCGCGCAGCTCTGGGTACGCCGACACCTGGACTGGGAAACGCCCCAGGCGCTGACCAGCTCTGGCACTGGCCACCCTTCACGGCACACAGGGCGCCGCACCCGGCATCTCCTGATCCATGCAGGCCCTTGTCGCAGTGCGTGCAACCAGCGCGCCGATGGCCATGC